GGGTGCGACCGCCCGCGTACTACCGACCCCGTTGACAACTACAGCACTGGGAATCATCTACTTCTGAAATTTTTGATGACGTATATTTTTATCTGAGAAGTATAAAACTGCAAAAAAGATGAGAAAAACAAGCCAGATTTGAAACCAAAAAGTGATACTTTTCCAGACCGCCTTATACAAAATCGGGAATTACTTCCCGTCGGTCTCGCACCACCCAAATCCCCCCAAAAAAAGTGAGAATGAAATTGAATTTTCCCATTCATCCCCGCGTGAAAATTCAGATATCCCATACTCAATAGTCTATTTCAATTTGATTAAACAAGGATTTAACTTTCGTGAGGCAGTGATAAGACTGGGGATTTTTGAAAAACAAATCAGTATATGGGGAATGCGTCCAAACATTAACGCTTCTGATTTCAGGTAAAATAATGTCATTCTTGAAACGAGTTACAGCCATTTTACCGAGTAGATGGTATGTCACCACTTCCATTCTGTAATATACATTAGGAGCGTATGAATAGACGATGACGGATTGTAGCATAAATATCCAGTATTTTATTGTCCCCCGCTATCTACGCCGCCTGACTGTGCACGTACACATGCGCGCATCGCTAATTACATTGACATGACATACTAAAGCATGAAACATGTCGGTATTACGTCAGTATCATTGAACAACTTGATTGCGCCGATGAATTTGTACAATCGGGCGATTTATCGACCGGCCCGGACACACTAGGCGACAAAATCAGCCCGATAATAATCAAAAGTTTTGATCTATACGATGAAAATCGGCGACGAAATCGGGCGACGAACGGCGGCGATTGCAGGGATACCACTTAGGCGATTTCACGGCGATTTTGTCGCCCGATTTAATCGCCCTAGTTGTTGTCCGGCCGCTTAGAGACACCACATATACAGGCCAGGAAAATGACCTGTAGAAGGAAAAACACTGAAAACGCCGAGCGGGGGGAGGAACGTAGGGAGATTTTTTAATTTGGGGGTCAGAATCAAGAGGCGCCGAAAGTGGGGGGGGGGGCGGAGGGGGGCGGGCCGCCCCTCCAATCCAAAAGTGGGGGAAGGAGGCAAACCTAAACAACCCTCAAAAATGAGTGGGAAATAAAAAATAAAATGTATGAGGCTAAGACTTGTTACAGTAATTATACAACGTCAAAACATAATTTATACATCGATTTTAAGTTTTCGGCTGCGCGACTTTGCGTGATTGACGCTCACGCCGCACACACGCGCCTCACGCACACGTAGCGCACACGTCGCACACACCGCGCTCACGTCGCACACACGCGCTCACGATCACACACGTTACCACACACGCGCGTCACGCGCGACACTTCACACACGACGCGCTCACCACCGCACTCACACGCTCGCACGGACGACGTCACTGCACGCACGTCACACGCGCCAGACCACAACGCCCACACACGCAACACGGACGCACACACAGGCCACACGGCCACACACGCGCATCACGTCACATCCACATGGCGCTCACGCACACTACGCGTAGCACGCAGCTGCGACACACACACTCCGCTCACGCGCCATCACGCACACCATGCGCCACGCGCTCATCAGCACACTGCACACCGCTTCCACAACACCACACACGCGCTCAGCGCAACAGCTCACGAGCAAAAACAACCGCGCGACCACGGCTTTACGCCACACATGTCACACACACTGCGCTCACGGCACACCTACGCGCTCACGCACACAGCGTCGCACACACGTGCTCACGCAAACACTGCGCTTACGGCACCACACGTCACCGCACACGCGCCTCACGCAACACACGCGCTCACGCACACACATGATCGCACACACAGCGCTCACGCCACATACGTACCAGTCTTTTAGCTTGCTGCCAGCCGCCATAGGACGGATCGATAAACGTGCGCTCTGCATGTACATGAGCCCGTAGTAAGATTACGAATGCTTCCCTGTGAACTCGAAAAAAACGAAAACGGCGGTAAAGCAATTCTGGAATCGGGGAAAAAGCCGGAAATCCGCGCGAAACAGTGGAAAATTTTCATGCGCTGCATAATATACTCACCGGACAGCATGCATGTGTTTGGGGCTCGCGCTCTTACGCAGGGGCCAGACCCTCAGCACAGAGAGCATCATCATCATGGCGTGCTGAGATCGACGACGGAAGATAAAACTCAAGCCTATCTACATGGCCATTGCCCCAGAACGTGCAGCAGCTTGAATTCCACGCGCTCACTGGTTGTGATACCACCACATCCAGGGAAAGGAAAGCCTATTTTGCTTCAAATTCTTCATGAAGGCTAGTGATGACGTAATCCATGCACTAGCGTGGCTTGGTGTGGTGTGTAACCATCTCCGGAGGTGTTGGCTGGTTGTGAAAAGTTCGTGTGTCAGCTCTTTAAACGTGGTTATGAATCAGCTAAAACACTCCGGTGGCATATGTTCAAGCAACTAAAGGGCAACCAGGTGTAGAGAAACTACTTCCAACTCAGGATCCATAACTGAAGCACATTCTGGCGAGCACACTTTCAAGCTAACATTTGGTGCAGGACACAGTAGCTGTTTCAAGTGTTCTAGATCCATTATCTTTGGGATGGAAACAACTAGATGACGGACGTTGTGTTCCTGTGACGTCAAAAGTTCCACAGCACCAGAGGCTGTCGTGGACCTCCTGAAGTGTTTCATGTATGCCAGCAAATGCAGTGGACGGTGTTCTTGCAAGACCAATAATCTGGCATGCACATAGCTTTGCAAGTGTGAAGGCTGCCGACAGATCATGCACTAATGTTGAAATGAGGAGACAGACAGTGATGATGAGGACGAGGATGAGGATGACAGCGACTGTGATGACTAATAACGTAGTGCATGTCCATAATAAGCTTATCATTGTGCATATATTGAATAAATTGGTTTCAAAATATAACGATTTATTGCTTTTTTTGGTATATGCTGGCCGCCATCTTGAATTTTGCCACTAGACATATTTAAAAAATTGGAAACATGTTGCTTTGTGTTCAGTGTGACCATAGAAAGTAAAAAATCACAAGTTTCCAGATACCAGTTTCCTACACTATATAATTATGGCCAGGATATATGCAAACTGCCTAAAGGGAAACCCCTACATAATTATCCTTGCTTTCTAAAAACAGGTGAATATTTGAGAATGCAAACCATCTTTCTTAAAAATTTTACTCGGAATATCTGTGAAGTAGAGAGAGAGTTTTAGTTGACTAAAACAAGTGGAACGCAAGTGCATACTGGCTTTGCACGCAGGTGCCTCCCTCCTTGTGGCAGACGGTAGAAGTATGCGAACAAAACAAGAGAACAAACTTGATTAAAAAATTGATTAAAAAATCAGATTTTATCTGGGATTCGTGATTCGTTCAATACATAGTTAAAACATCTGTAGATCTAATAATACAATAATGGCAAAACTCCATGTATTCGCAAAGTGGTGACACTATCTACGATAAGTATAAAATGTAGAGAAGTACGACAATGTTATAGAATAAATAAGTAAAATACAATGTAGTATATATGTGAATATAGTACACGAACATTTAAATGTATATATATATATATATATATGTCTATAATTATATATACATACATAATAAAATTCGACCAGTGTCTCTATAAGTTCATAGCACGAACCTACGTGTACATAGTAGGTTCATGGTCAGGTTATAGGCCCTTATATGTGAGATCTTATGTTGAGTCTGGATTCAATAGTTCAACATTGCAGCATACGTGTCATAATCTGTCAGCGAAAATCCAGCTCCATTAGTAAGCGCATTCTTGGTCTCATTGGTCTCATTCCGGTTTTTGGCAATTATCCTGAAAACAGAAAGGAAATTTTAGCAGGCATGCGTTGACGTGGCATACACTACGTTCTAAAAGTTTCACCGATTTTACCATCGAGTACCGCCCTTCTTCTGAGCCAACGAGAGAGAGAGAGAGAGAGAGAGAGAGAGAGAGAGAGAGAGAGAGAGAGAGAGAGAGAGAGAGAGAGAGAGAGAGAAGAGAGAGACAGTGAAAGAGAAGAGAGAGAGACAGTGAAAAAGAGAGAGAGAGAGAGAGAGAGAGAGAGAGAGAGAGAGAGAGAGAGAGAGAGAGAAAGAAGAGAGAGAAAAGACGGAGGGGGCGGGGGGGGTGGAGTGAGTGAGTGAGTTGCATCGTTTTGCATAAATGGTTCCCTCAAAGATCACAACATATGTGACTGGTTATAGCCAAATGAGTCTCTGGGAGCAATTTTTCAATTTCCAGATAATCATATGGTGGATGATCCAGGTATGTTTTGTTCTGTGTATGAATTCCGATAAAATGTCCTTGAAAAAAATTTCAGTCCTGTATGAACCATGCTATGGCACATGTGATAAATCGAACCCTGTGAAGTTGCCCCCCCCCTCCCACAAGTGAATAGCAAGACGTTCTAGCAGAAAGATTGGTGTGTTACGATATTTTAAAAGATTGTGCTAGCCAACGGAGTGCTACAACGTCTACAATTTGATGCTGCACGTGAAAAAAAGCATAAACTGGTGGTAGCAAAACAATAAACATAAAATGAAGGTAATCAGGAATAAGATTAGTAGAATTTGAAGGAAGAGGGCTAGTACCTTTTTGCACCCATTATTTATGCCTACCGTACGTACTCTAGCTAATGGCTAAATTGAGACATAATGGCCACTATTTTAACTGAAAATTGCCCACCTGTTTAAACTGAATATTAATGCTAGTACTGATAATCCTATCTACTATATAGTAGTAATTATGCTGGCATATGCCAGTCTAGCAAAATACTGCAGGAAAACCCGTATTGTTAAGATTGCAAAAAGTTGTCATCTCTGAATTTACGGCAATAAAATACCTTGGTGGTTAGTCCATGCTCAAAATTATGTAATCGTGTTTCTAACAACAGCCAACACTGTTGCTGAATGTTGAAGAGTTTTACAGAGTGTAACATCTTGACTGTACTTTGTCTGTTGCAGGCCTACTCATCAGGGACATCGACTATTCCCTTACGTTAGACACGACACTGAACGTAACAGATGGCACTAACGCAACCCAGCTACTCGAAGTTCCATTGACCTTGTAGTGCCTTTACATGTACTGGCTAATGTGCAAGTAAGTGTGCAAAGACTTGTTTGAATTTTTTAATATTTTTTTGTCGAAGGCAAGACTACGTACATAAATGTTATATTCACCAAAAATTCAATTCTGAAGATAAATGGTCACGATGATGGAAAATAGAAATGATTGAAGCTGGTAATTACTTACCAGAGCATGTCTTGGTTGTTGAGAGTGATAGCTATATGTGACCCGTTATAGCCGAATGACTCGGAACTCGGAAGTCGCACATATTAATTTTACGCTATGTGTGGTTTTAACTATACAGTAATGGCGCCGTCACACCACCGTATGAAAGCCAGCGTATACCGACGTATCAAAATTTCTCTAAAACGCTGGCATACGCTGAACTATCGATGTTTTTTTAAATTTTTGGCGTATACATAGCGTATTCATAACGAGTTGGACGTATACATAACGTATTAGTAATGTAGATAGAACGTTTCGATAACTTAAAGATAACTTATACCAACGAATGCTTAGCGTGTTGCCGGCGTTCACACTTATGTCCAACGATAGTCTAACTTATGCGTATCGCGCGACGATCACAGTGTCGTAGCTATAAAAAGGCTGCCGGCTCGACATTCCAATTCATAACCGCACTAGACATCGCAGTATCAACATGCCAATAACCATTTGTATATACCAATTCCCCTAAACGCTGCCAATTAGCCATTATACGGTTGCTGTAAGTTAGAAACACGTTCAGTAAGTTCTGTGGTCGTCCGGAAGCACGTCCAATACGTCCTACAACGTCAATTATGCTTTGGAGATAAGTTCGATATAATTAGCACATAGGTTCAAAAGCATCGTTACTCCATGAGTTAGAAATAAGTTTTGGGTACGCTAGACATTATCTCGAGTCTCGACGTATATCGACTTCACGTACGAGTAACTTACAAGTAACGTGTGTGAACGTGTGTCAATGATCGCATAACTTACCTACAACTTATGCCTGCCCGTATGCGGGACGTATGGGCATACGCTGGCATAACGTCGACCTCGCCGTACTACGACCGTATACCAGCGTGCTTCAGCGTGCTTCAGCGTGCTCTTACCTTAAACAAAACTTACCCATAACTTATTCGACGTATGCCACAGCGTATTCGCCAAATTTTCCATACGTTGGCATACGCTGGCTAAATCGTCAAGGTGTGACAGGGCGGCATTAAACTCGCATAAGTCGAACACTTTTGGGACCAGCATATTTGGGCGCGACTTACGCATTTGTCGACTATATGTAGGCTCCCTCCAGCGTGCCCGGTCACCCCCTACGCAGTCAGTAAACATGCTCCACACACGACGTCAGTTTGCGGCCACATACATAGCAGACATGAAACAATCGTCGCGTACATCATCGACAGCCCACTGCTGTCCATAACGCACGTACAGCGTAACGCACTAGCGGCAAGCGCGGCACGCCATGACAGTACCGTATACTGATCGCGAATTAACCGCGGGCGCGCTATACAGTATAAGCCGCACCTCAATTTGAATCGGCGTAACAAAGTATTGCGCCTAGTAATATTTCCCTCACGGTATGGCGCACGTTATAAACCGCAGAGCAAATACAGGTTTTGAAATCTGAGGCCAGATTTGCGGTTATTACGCGAGTATATATGGTAGATACAATAGTGTAACCGAACAAGAGTAGGGTTACCATTACAACTACAGACCAACACAACCTACTCTTGTTGGGTTACATTATTGTAACTGGGCATATCTGGGCTGGTTTATAATATCTGCATAACTGGGCTATCTGTAACACCGCTGTTGATTACACATTGGCGGCATATCTGCGACAGCCAGCTCGTACATCCCCTAGATCGTACACTGCGCCATCGGCATTTCTGATGACGGACTTACAGATGGGAAATTACTGTTGTTTGTATTACATGGACCTGTCTGCATGAGGGCGACGCCTTGTACATAATGACGGCTTATAAATGTCGACTTAGGCAGGGCTATTTCCAATGGATTTACTATGAGAGAGAAATGCGGGACTTTGACTTCCATGACGACTTATGCGATGTGACGAGTTACACGATGAGAGCTTGTGCAAGTTTTACTGTATAGGCATAAAATTTTTTGTTTTTGTGATTTTAACTGGAATAGAATATCTGGGTGAAATATACAAATAATACCTTTAAAATATATAATTTTGCTATTTTGTATCGAATATATCAAATATATGAAGTTAGTGTACACTTTAGACTTTTTCTTAGATTTTCTCTCATATTCCTTTTGATTTTTCAAGGGTTAATTAAATAACTTCAAATATCGCATAACTTTTTATTTTTATCCGATTCAAAATTTTGGAGACGCAGTATGAAGATAAAAGACAGTAGAACATCACCATATGATTATCTGGAAATTGAAAAATTGCTCCCAGAGACTCATTTGGCTATAAACCAGTCAGAATATGTTGTGGATCTTTGAGGGAAGCCATTTATGCAAAACGATGCACTCACTCACTGCCACTCACCCCCCCCCGCCCCCGTCTCTCTCTTCTGTCTTTCTCTTTCACTGTCTCTCTCTCTCATCGGTTCTCATCCTCTCTCTCCTCTCTCTTCTTCTTTTTCACGTGTCTCTCTCTGCTTTCTCTTCACTGTCTCTCTCTCGTCTCTCTCCTCTCTCTCTGTCTTCTCTCTCTCTCTCTTCCTCCATCTCTCTCTCTCTCTCTCTCTCTTCTCTCTCTCTCCTCATCGTTGGCTCAGAAGAAGGGCGGTACTCGATGGTAAAATCGGTGAAACTTTTAGAACGTAGTGTATGCCACGTCAACGCATGCCTGCTAAAATTTCCTTTCTGTTTTCAGGATAATTGCCAAAAACCGGAATGAGACGCAATGAGACCAAGAATGCGGCTTACTAATGGAGCTGGATTTTCGCTGACTGAGATTTATGACACGTATGGCTGCAATGTTGAACCTATTGAATCCAGACTCAACATAAGATCTCACATATAAGCGCCTATAACGCTGACCATGAACCTACTATGTACACGTAGGTTCGTGCTATGAACTTATAGAGACACTGGTCGAATTTTAATTATGTATGTATATATAATTATAGAGCATATATATATATATATATACATTAAATGTTCCGTGGTACTATATTCACATATATACTACATTGTATTTTACTTATTTATATCTCATAACATTGTCGTACTTCTCTAACATTTTATACTTATCGTAGATAGTGTCACCACTTTGGCAATACATGGAGTTTTTGCGCAATTATTGTATTATTAGATCTACAGATGTTTTAACTATGTATTGAACGAATCACGAATCCCAGATAAAATCTGATTTTTTTAATCAATTTTTTTTAATCAAGTTTGTTCTCTTGTTTTGTTCGGCATACTCTAAACTGCGTCTGCCACAAGGAGGAGCACCTGGCGTGCAAAGCAGTATGCAGCTTGCGTTCCAGCTTGTTTTAGTAACTAGACACTCTCTCGTCTACTTCACAGATATTCCGAGTAAAATTTTTAAGAAAAGATGGTTTGCATTCGTCAAATATTTCACCTGTTTTTAGAAAGACAAGGATATATTATGTAGGGGGTTTCCCTTTAGGCAAGTTTGCATATTATCCCTATGCCATAATTTATAGTGTGGAAACTGGTCGATCTGGAAACTTGTGATTTTTTACTGTTCTGATGGTCCACACTGAAAACAAAGCAACATGTTTCCAATTTTATTAAATATGCTAGTGCAAAAATTCAAGATGGCTGGCAGCATATTACCCAGAAAAAAAGCAAAATTCGTTTATATTTGAAACCAATTTATTCCATATATATGCACAATGATAAGCCTTATTATGGACATGCACTACGTTATTAGTCATCACAGTCGGCTGCTCAAATCCTCATCCTCGTCGCTCATCATCACTGTGCTGTGCTCCTGCATTTGCAACTTAGTGGCATTGATCTGTCGGTCAGCCTCACACTTGGCAAAGCTATGTGCATGCCAAGATTATTGGTCTTGCAAGAACAACCGTCCACTGATTTTGCTGGCAATTCATGAAACACTTCAGGAGGTCCACGACAGCCTCTGGTGGCTGGTGGAACTTTTGAGCGTCATACAGGAAACACAACGCCGTCATCTAGTTGTTTTCCATCGCAAAGATATAGTGGATCTAGAACACTTGAAACAGCTACTGTGTCCTGCGACCCAATGTTAGCTTGAAAGTGTGCTGCGCAGAATGGGTTCAGTTATGGATGCCTGATGGAAGTAGTTTCTCTACACCCTGGTTGCCCTTTAGTTGCTTTGAACATATGCCACCGGAGTGTTTAAGCTTGATTCATAACCACGTTTAAAGAGGCTGACACACGCAACTTTTCACAACCAGCCAACACTCCGGAGATGGTTACACACACACGCGAAGCCGCCAGCTAGTGCATGGATTACGTCATCATCAGCCTTCATTGAAGAATTTTTGAAGCAAATACAGGCTTTTCCTTTCCGGCTGGTGCTGGTGGTATCACCAACCAAGTGAGCGCGTGAATTCAAGCTGCTGCACGTTCGGGGCGCAATGGCATGTAGATAGGCTTGAGTTTTATCTCGCGTCGTCGATCTCTCAGCACGACGCCATGATGATGATGGCTCTGCTGTGCTGAGTTGGTCTGCCCCTGCGTAAGAGCCGAGCACCAACACA